CGTACATGTGCGAGGGGTACAACTTTAAAAAAAAAAAAAAAAGAAAAAACCCCCACGTACCGGAGGTCTTCGATTTCTTTAATATAATTGTGAATCATATTGCTTATTTCTTCATTTCCATCACCTGTAAAAATACATTTAGATATTTATACAAATACTAAAAAAATTATCACATAAATGAACACAAATTATTACAGAACGTGAACCCCCACGCCAAAAAACAACTGGGAAAAAAATATAACATTTATTTCTTAAATATGATCCATGATGAATAAAAGAACCAAACATTCCATGGCTTAGCCAGGTATAATTTTAAAGTTCCCTGACAGGTGACATAATCAACTTTTCCATGGTTAGATATTTATTAAAAAAATATCCCCGATGCATGAAATAGCAAAACGTTCCATGGTTTAGGCAGAGGATTTATTTAATATGTTTAACAAAGAATGAAAAAGCTGAACATCCCTTGTAGAACCAAACATATGAATGGGATAATTTATTTTTAAAAAGGTCAACCATCCCTAATACTCAAACTATGGCTGCAGCTAACGATTATTTTCCTGATAATTTTTTCAACTAATCGATTGGTTGTATAAAAATATTCTCTCTCTCTCTCTCTCTCTCTCTCTCTCTCTCTCTCCCCTACCAACTAATCGATGATGAGAATAGTTGCCAACTATTCTCATCATCGATTATTATAGATTTAGTCGATTAGTTGCCGCAGCTCTAACTCAAACTGTAAAATTGTATAATTTTATAATCTAAAACCCAATTGTATTATGTAGTAGTGTAATTACTCTTTATGTGTCTCCAATTTTCTACTTGTCCAGAGCTATTTGTTTTGGCCTCTGAATTGCACACATGCACAAAAGGGTATTCTCAAATCAATAGGTTCACAACAAAAGGGAGTGGACGTATGCACTACAGTGATACCCAGACAAACAAATTGAGCTACTCAGTTAGTAGTAGTTAGACACATTGAGTTGGGCTAGTTGCTCATCCAAGCAGCACCTTCAGTTCTACTTTCCAGTTGCTTAGATAAGCAGTGAAACGTCTTCAACATTAGAGAACAAGTCCAGTTGTATCCAACTGCTACAAGTTCTGCCATAACCAGGATAAACGAGGACCTTCAAGAGCTACTAAGAAGCAAGGCTATGTTCCCTTCATGAATTTTAAATCTTAAATGTTCATCATTGTCTGGAGTTCACCTTTAAAGCAGGTTTTCCTTTAAATTAAAAGTTAAATTAGTGACACAGCACAAAGAATATTCTATTCCCATTTCCCTTAAAGTCTATTTTCATCTTTATGCATCACTCTGTGTTTGCGACTATAACTTTTCTTTTGTTACAGAGCAGCTAATGTTTTACAAATTTAGCTTTTTTTGTGCTTATTCCCATACATAGTGTGAATATTATGGAGGTTTTTATTCTCATGCTTTAAAGAGAAATAAGGGGGGAAAGGGGGTTAACACTGCAAACCTCATTAATAAATGCTTGACGATTGACCCTTCCATTGACTTTTTTTTTTTTGGAGGGGGGGGGTGTCAAATATAGTATATGGTAGCAAGACCAGACAAGTCAAAACTCCTTATCTGCATTCCTAATGCAGGCCTATGCCTCTATTAAAGCCAATAGGGTCACCATAACAGCCAGGTAAAAGCATTTACAGAATGACAGGTCTGCAGTGGCAGTCTCCAATATTTTTAGCATGAGAAGTTTCCTTGGTTATTACATGTCATAAATCATGAAGAAAACTTGAGGACCAAACAGCTGTACCTGCTCTTGCAATCACTTGGTCGGCCTGGTCACTCATATGTTGGGTGATCCTTGTTCTCAGAGCATCAATCGTTTCTTGCATGGCTTTAATTCTAATGCGCAGATTGTTGTTTTCTGTTTGCAACATTGCGTTCTCGTGGAACATGTCATTAATACTCTCAACGCCATTTTCATCGATATTTCTTTTACCCTACAATTTCCAGGAAGGGAGAACAAAAAACAATTTCAGGACCATCAACAAAATCAATACTGTTCTATATTTCCAGCAGAAAACAGTAGAGCTTAACAAACATTTTATATGTGCGTTATGCATGAATCAGCATCCCCTGTCCCTTGTAACTATACTTACAGCTACAAAATACGATAAACGACTTCCTTACGTACCGTTTTATATTCCATCAATTCCATCTGGAGTCGCGTTATTTCATTCCTCAGGGAATTGATTTGCTGACTGGTTCGGTCCTGGTTAACCATGACCTTGTTCTTGATATTACGTGCCCGATTGGCATACTTAAGAGTATTTAGAGTTTCCATGAAATCTCTGTCTGAGGGGCTGATGCATGCAATCATGATCGTTTGACTAAAAAAAAAAAAAAAAATAGAGCAGAACATAGAGACAATTATTAAGTCTTCAATCAACCCCTGTGACCCGGTAGAGATCCTTCACCTGTTTCCTAAGTTTATTATTATACAGGATTTATATAGCGCCAACAGTTTGTGCAGCGCTTTACTATATAAGGGAGACATTATAATTACAATACAATTCAAGACACGATGGTAAGGAGGGCCCTGCCTGTTAGAGCTTACAATCTAAAAGGGAGGGTGCTTTTAGATTGTAAGCTCTAACTCTGCTAACTCATCCCCCCATATGTCATTCACACTAGAGCCTCTAGTGTTATGGACCCAGGACCCATGCCTGTGGGCACCTCAAGCAAGCATTCACTAGTGGTAAATCAAATCACAGTCCTTTACAAAACACATGCAGCAGGAAGATTCATCTGCAGAAAATGTTTGGTAATTGTCACATACACTGCTTTATAAATATGACCATAATCTTTGACAACTGTTAATGTCCCTTGTTCTTTCAGCCTCACACTGTCGAGCACATTTTTTACATCGAAATAAAGATTTAATTATAAATTCACCTGTTTACTTCTTTGGACATACTAATAGTTTTGACATGCAATCGCTAGTGACATGTTTATGGTCAGTTTCAGTTATCACGGTCACCTGTACTCTCAGCAATAACATGCATTTACATGTGCTAGGAGTGTCTGCTAATTTCCATGCACAGTTGTAAAGAATATTAAAACAGTGACTGCCTGTGAAATACAGGTATGTCTGGTAATGTCAAGGGTGGGTAACCATGATACTCAAACTGTGGTGACACTACAAATCCCATTAGGCTTCTTGCTCAGGAGGGGCATATCTGCGACTATCAGAGTCCTGCAATGCCTCATGGGACTTGTAGTTCTACAACAGCTGGAGTGCCAAGGTTGCCTACCCCGGTTTATGTTATGTACAGCTTGTCTTGTTTTTTGCTAGTGTTCCTACAGAAGTTTCACACAGACAGTCACAACCATCATATCAAGAAGGGACAGTCATTTTAATCAGTAACGATCTTGTTACTATAGTGATAATGAGGAAAAAGATCTCCCTGCACTTACTGCACATGCTCCGCTACTAAGGTCTACAAGCCAATAAAAAAAAAAAAATCAGTATGAACTTTCTCAGGCCCAACCCTGTAAACCTTAACCCTAAACTATTAATTTAAGAAGGCAACTGCACCTGTAATACTTAATACACAGAGATTATGCATAGCTATGCAACACTGTGCTTTCACATGATTATTTTGTGCATTACATTAGTCTCAAATAAAGCAGGGTTTATGTTCCTCTGCAACCATTTCAAGATAAGCCCATAACATGTCCATTTTGCATGGAGATCAGTAATTCTTAACGATGCAACACTACAGTCTTGTCTAAGCTTGTCCGGTGTAAAAATAAAAAAGAAATCTAGCAAAGACAGAATTCAGTTTTAAACTGTTTTATGTGAATTATGTGCAACAAACCAATCCAATCATAAACGTTAAAAAAAACATACCTATTACCCCCTAGTGAGTCCTGAAGAAGCCGTGTTAACTTGGAATCCCTGTAAGGTACATGAGTGACCTTTTTACTTTTATCTCCTAGCGCACTTATCACATTCCCAAGAGCCAACTATGAAATCAGAAATGAGAGAAAGTTACAAAACAAGCTAAAGAAACCAAGAAAATCAACATGGGTTTTATATCAAACAAGCAACAGGATATCCAGCAAATCTTTACATCTGTATGCTGTACGTTCAAAAAAAACATCACTTTTAATATATTCACTAAGTTTCTATACAACAACCTATTGCTCCAGGGAGGAAACGGTCTGCCTTAGCTAGGCAGCCTCTGGACATGTTTCAATAACAGCAGCATGCCTGGCCAGGTGTAACCACGTGCCTTTTCTCATGTAGGGAATATTTACAAAATGTTGTATATGATAAAAGCACTTCATGCTTATACCCAAGATTGTTGATCCGTTAAGTATGTTTAGGTCTATAAAAATCAGATTCAGCTATATGACCTTTATAACAAAGACACTTCTCGTCTTGGCTATCTTTTCAGTATTGCTCCAAGCAGTGCCGGCAGAAGTTGCAGAAAAAGGACGCTACAAAACAACCACTTGTGTGTACTCCGCTACTTGTCTCAATACACACTTCCACTCTCAATGTAACAAGAAGAGCTTATTAGTAGAGTCTTCCCAGGCCTTAGAAAAGAATCCACCAATCTACTGGTTAGGCACATGAATGTGCGGGAGTTACGTCATCCGGACCTGGCCAACCATGTGGGCAAAGACCCAGAAGAAGACATCACAGCACTGGAGGGGATTGCTTTGGCAGGTAAGACTGCCATAATGTGCTAATATGTTGTGCATACAAGCATATTATAGATGACAGATGCTGGAGGCTCTTTTTTTACTTTACTTCTGCTTTAAGTGCTTATCAGCCTTCTTCCACCTGCTGCACGTTCCCGTTAGCACATCACTATAATGGGCAGCCTTACTTTTAGTCAGGAATGTGCAGGAGGCAGGTAAGCTCTTGATAGTCCTCAAATAGAAAGCATAGATACGTGCAGGTTAAATCTCCAAATCTCACCCAATGCTGTGGTGGGCATTAAAAGATAAGTTCAGGCCCTGTCATCTGTTGAGTACCATTAGGTTACAATAGGTTTATGTCAACACAGATTTCAAATACATTTTCCTGGGTATGTACTTGGAAACACATTTACTGTCTTACATTGCTACATCACTTCTAAGAAGTGTTATACTTGAACAAAACTAGAGGTTACATAGTAGCCTATTGTGAAATAAGCACATAATCTTACCAGCCCACAGTTGATGGAAATTCCTTCTTTAGCTCTGTCACCTGTAGCTCCTGTGCGTTTAAGTCGCTCTGATCCGGCCAAGTCGACAAAATGGAACTTGGCAGTAAGGGTTTCAAACTCATTCACTTGTGTAGATTCAGATGTTATCCTATTATCCAAGTCATTCTCCTAAAAAAGTAATGAACACAAAAGAACAATTTCAACATAACAAAAAAAAAAAACCTTCCAAAATAATAATGTTCTAGCAGTGAATTCTTGTGAAGAGAACTTCACTGCTTTCTGGAATTAATTAGTTTAAACAAGGCAGCTATGGGACAACAGGGGGTTTAATGACCCTCCACATTCTTAAAACAAAGGAGGAAAACGAGAGGACAAGTGCATAACTAGGGATTTTAATTGTCCATCTACATAAATTACATCTCCCTACACATATAATCGAACTTAAAGGATAATTAAAGCCTCAGGGTTTTTACATATATCTACTACTAGCAAGCAGTAAATACTAGCAAACCGTAGATATATGCAAAAAGTGTAAAAAAACAGCTTTGAAAAGGGTTAATACTTACCAGTGTCTTCCCTGCGCGCTCCAGTCCGAAAATGTAAAAAATCTCGGGCGGCCGCAAAGCATCTTGGGGCGGGCGCCTGCGCAGATCACATTTTTGGCTGGGACACAAGGAGAGACACAAGGTAAGTCTATGGACGCGTGCACCCGCATGCAGACACCATGGGACAGGAAGTGCCAGCAGGCTCAGAGGCGTCAGCGCTGGATCGGAGACCCGCGGCAGCGCTGGAGGGACAGATGAAAGGGACAGGAAAGAAGAAGATCGGATTAGGAACCTAATTTAAGGTAAGTGCTGACATTAACATTGGGGGAGGGAAAAATATTTTTGACTTTAATGTCACTTTAAAACATATCTTAGCCCCCGAACAAGTATTTTATATATTGCAGCTTACCAGTACTTAGATGTGGTTGCAGAACTTGTTTTCATTTTTCAAGCTTTACACACTGTCTGCCCTAAGGTGACAATGCTCACTTATAATATCTATGGAGGTTCTCACCCTTTAACAAGGCAAGAGAACACTTTTCCCTTCTCTCCATATCATAGATGGAGTTGTTCTGTTGTCCACAGAGAGAGCTGAAAACAATGCTGACTTATAAGACTCAGCAGAGGCAGAGAGCACAGGAAGTTATCAGCTCCCTGGATTTCTGACAGGATGAACATGCTCGTTGTTTGCACTTATTCAACAGATATAACAAAACACTTTCAATTGTATATTCAATGGATCAAACATAAGCAAAAAGGAGAAGTTCACTGTTATGTTTTGGATATTGTTATACTTTGCATAACCATTTAGTGTCCAACCAAAACAAAGATCTTGGTTTTGGGTGCACCAATCTCTAACATTGTTGACTTAGAGAAACCCCTAAAAATCCATCTACACAAAAAAAAAAATACATAGTAAATATATACAAACATACTGTGTCAAATTTGGGACACACACGGCTTTGACAAAGGTGGATGGTGAATATGGCATGAGAGCGTGAACTTTGCACATTCATTTGTGTGCTGGCAGTAGTTCTAGATAAGGCACCCAATTTTAAGCACTGCAACATCTGAAAATAGAGGAAAATACTACGTTAGTGATGAGTTAGTTGGATTCCAAACCTAGGAAAGGTTCTCAATCTATAACACTCAAGCAGCTCCTTCTGAAACTAACGCATATGTATTGTAAGACCAGGGAAAAAGCTGTTTGTAAGGCACACGCTCTTAAAAGAAGGTTTCTAAAACTATCAAGACAAAATGTTTTCACACAGGCCAATTCCAGTTTTCATTCCATGTTCCACTTAAATTTAGGGAGCCTTACAGCAGTCCCCCACACTTACCTAAATCGAGTGTGCTTCTCTCTATGTGCTTCTGTGTATTTTTTTAATTTGGTGTGTGGCTCACCCCTACAGCCACGTCATTTATTCAAGTTCCATCTGTCACTGTGGCAGACGGACTTATAAAGTAGATCTCAAAAGGAGCTAAAGAGCAGTGATATCATTGCACTTGTAGTCCAGCTTAAGAAATTAAGGTCTGTAGGTCATTACAGACCTAGGACAGGAGGGACAGTCTGCAGGAGCCTAAGTATTGAAACTGAAGTCCACTGATTGAGGGCCCATTCACACCACATCCAGATTACCTTCAGGCCAGACCAGACTGTTGCCGGACCCAATATGAAGCCCAATGCTATTTCTGGCCTCTGTTCCCACCAGCTCAGTCCGTTCCGGACCAGACCAGAAAAATACTGCTAGTCCTATTTTGTCTGGTCTGGAATGCACTGGAACGCACCAAAACGCATGGAACGCACCTGTAAGACCATTTTAAGCTAAAAAATGTTTTAATTCCAATTGCAGCAAAATCATGGTAATCATTGGAATGCAATATGTTCCAGATCTGCTCCAAATCTGGTCCCGAAAATGGTGTGAACCCAGCCAGAGGTTACAATGCTTTGTATGCTCCAATGCAATTTCTTTTTACAATATTGGTGCATTTATTCTTTTTTTTGCAAAGAGGAATTTACCTTTAAGGGTCCTGTATATGATAAAATAGAGATTATTCATATCTGTGAACAGTAAAAAAAAAAAAAGGGCCAACAGATAATTGGGCACATGTTCATGTATATGTATGTTCCATGTATATTTCTGCTCTCCAGCTAGTGATCATAATACAGGGAACCTCCCGTATTCATAAATACATAGGAAAGGTGACATCCTACAGACACCAAAGCAAACTAGAAAGTTTAAATCTGGAAGTTGACACAGAAGATTATCATTTAACAGATATTAATAAACAAAGAACTAGGAGAGGCCTGAATAGCTTTATAAAGAATGGCTGTTGCATGTTATCTTTATTACTAAAGAATATTAGTCAAGTGGAATCTACTTGTTTCATCAGTTGGCAATAAACAGATCTGATAGAACACTAACAAAAACCATACCTCTGCCTCTGATGTCACATTACGTGTTGTGACTCCAACTGTGTAAATTCCACCAGTTGAATCTTCATGGATTTTGATATTTGATTTTTTATGCCTGGACTCAATGTCCCGCGTTGTATCAAACAAATCAAGTACTTCTTCATTGTAAAGCTAAAAAAACAGGGCGCACAATAAACAGTTAACACACTGGCCACAACTGGAATGTATGTACAATAGATGAACTAAAATATTGGTTCAAAAGGCAAAAAACTCCAAGCAATCCAATCAAGTAAGCTGCCCAGTGATTGGCTCCATGCGTATGGACAATGCACATATCAGCACAACTTGAACTCAAGGTTATAGGACTAATAGATGGTCCTATATAGTGGGAAACGGTATCTTAACCTCTTGCCGTCCGCCCGTAGTAAAAAAACGGACGGACGGCACTGCAGCATCTGAGGGTTTTTTTTTCCCCCTGACCCCTCACACACATCACCACATAAAAACAATGCTCACTTCAAAAATTAAGAGTTTTGTATACCATTTTCAAAAAAATTATCAATTTTATTCCACAATAATTACAATCACCTTAGCAGGAGCAGAAGTAATAAGGGATTAGAACTACAAAAATTAATATCATATAACAATATAAACAGTATCAGAAACCATATCAAAGTGTGATGCAATAAATCTTCACTAAAGACATTGATTATACAAACAGACTGTTGGGAAAGGTTTAACGTAGCACTGCAACATGTGTGCTCGTGTGTGTGTTCACACTTTTACATTGAAGGCTTCAGAATATACTTCCAGGGCAGCCTGTATGGTATAACATACCCATACTAGCTACCAGTAACAAAGATTGGAGGAACCTTGTTGCGTGCATGTGTTGGCTTCTATAAGCTCCAGGTTCAGTTGGAGGGAGCAGTGTACCTACTGAAGATCAGCCCTCAAAGGACAGCATACTGGCATGTGAGCATACCCTCAAAAAAATAGAAAGGAGAGTGCATTAACATTCGTTTATTTGTGACAGTGTGGCCAATAATGGCACACTTGGTGACATTTAATATGGCTGGCTGTAATCAGGCACTGCAAAGATTGTTATTGTGGTGCAGAACTTAAAGAGTGTTTAGAAAACAGTTAATTCAACCGTCATCACCAGGTTTTTCAGCCAATGCAAACGTGTTTTGCATTAGTAGCTCTTACAATAATCCTTCAGCTTCTAAACGGCTGAAAAGGAGCACTACCTATGCATATTCTTAAATAAGAAGTCTGAGCAAATTACAAATTAACCCTTGCAGTGGGGCGGTCACTGCACTGCCAAGGTTAAGTGTTTGTTTTGGTCTAGAGATGAAAATTAAAAAAAACACACACACAAAAACAAAGTATTGCAGTTTGCAATGATACCTTTCTTACCGGACTAACAAAAAGAGAGTGAACCTCTCTTCTTCAGGTCTGAAGCAATCCTTGAGTATTGTATTAAGTATTGCTTCTAATCTGAAGAAGAGAGGTTCACTCCCGAAAAGCTTGTCTTTTATATATTTTGTTATAAGAAAGGTATCATTGCACACTGCAATACTGCGTTTTTGTTTTTTTTACATCTTGTCTACTGGACTAATACGGCTTACCCATTTATATTACGATATAGATAGATATATATATCTATATATCTAGATATCTAGATAGATAGATATCTATATATCTATATATCTAGATAGATAGATATCTATATATCTAGATAGATAGATATCTATAGATTATATAT